TGTCTAGCGAGAGTCTCATTTTCTTCTTTAGGAAATTGTAACATAATTTTGAAAAATTTTGAAGTATTTGAATCTTTTTGACAACACTTAACTATGTAAAGCAGATAAAATTAGGGTTATTTTTTTAAGGGAGGGCCTAGAGTCTTGTCTTTTTTTTTCTGTACCCCGCCCCCCAAATCCTGCAATGTGCCCCTGTAATAATACACCCACAAAATCCTATAGATACACAGACTACAGTTTTCTAAATGAGTCCTTGGCATTCAGGACCCACCCAAGATAACTTTCTATGATTCAGGCATTCGGGATGACAAAGCGTACTGGTGTAGCCACCTGCTTCTCTTGCACTCAGTTGTTGTGGCCACTAGGCCAGTTACTAGTCTCCAGAGTGCCCTGTGTGCCAGTGTCACCTCCTGCCTCCCTGCAGCAAACATGAAGGGTGTGCCATGACTAAGCACTTTCTGAAGGAGCTTCTGCATCTGGTAAATGTTGAGTCTCTCCACCTGTCACCTGCTGAGATGATCCACTGATCCTTTTAGAGAGCCCAGACTTCTATCAATGAGGAGGATTTTGAGGATTTTTCCCCCTTGCCTTCAAATAACATTCCCACTGTTCAGACTTAAATACCAAAACCTTATGGTGTGCAGAGGCAGTGCCAAAAGTCCATCATGAGGAAACCTGCAGAGATAATAACTCCTATTGATCACACTGCGGGGAGAATAGTGGTTGAGGTTTGCCCTCCTACTGAGTTGAGAGAGAGGCTGCAGTTTCCTGAAACATTCTTGATTTACTTGAATTGGAGAAAACCACACATAAACACTTAAGTTCTTAGAGAACTGGTGACCAATTCAGGAAAACCTCACAGAACGAAAAGATTGGTTCAGATTAGTGCAGCAATCTGAGGAGGAACAGTCTCTTTGAAAGCATGGGGAATGCATTTTTTGTAAATGAAGCCAGTAAGACAGCAGCTCTTAAATATGGCCATGTGGAGGATGGCTGCTCTCTACCCAACTAGACAACAGACAAGGCATGAAAGAGCTCAGGACTAATTTGGGCACTGTGCAGGAGCTTTTTAGTCCAGTTCTTTGCAATATTCTGCACTCCTGTGAGTCAGCTTACAAAAAGGCTCAATACATTATGCATTTCCCAGAATTCAAGAGGCTTGAAAATAGAAGCAAGACTATTCAAGTGGGAAAGCTATCCCACTAGGGTAGCAGTGGGACCAAAACAGACCTTGATGGTATTTACACCCAACATTTTCACAGCCTCTTTTCCCTGATGCTCTCTATCAGTAATATAGGTCTAGATTTGCAGTATACACTTTTTAGTCATATGAAATGGGTTTTATTAGCCCCATTTGACAGAGGATAAAAATAGAGGTTAAAAGCCAATTGATAACTTGGCAATGATGACAAAATTTGTAAGTGGCAGAAAATAATATTTTAATTTAGGTGTATGTGTCTCTTACTGCCACATATTAACTTGCTATCACTGTGACATTGCACACAAAGAGAAGCTGCTATCCATCAGTGGGCATAGTTGGAAATGTCTTATCCTTTTGCCACAGTAAGAATAGCAAAGGCATGGAATTCCTTGAGACTCTACAGAGTCAAGACCAGTGGCTATATCTTGCTCCAAAGCTGTTGGTGGCTGTGAAACTGATGGAGTTCATGTTGAGATGAGCTTAGTTTTTCTGAATTGATGTTCAACCTTTTTTTAGGGAAATACGATAGATTAATAAAAATTGCTGTGACAGGGGTTAAAACAGTAAACTTATCGCAGAAAATTATCTTCTTTTTTATAAGTAGCCTCAGAATATAACTTATTTCAGGGAAACCATTTACATGCAAAAATATTTATCTGTCTTTGTGATCATTTTGTCTAAGAAGCCAAACATGTGGTTATCCAAAGGAATGAATCTTGAAGCCAAGAATAAAGTTCCTGAGAAACAACACAGTCACTTAATGAGCTTAAAGATTGAGATTATCATTGCTGTTGACCAAGAACTGAGTGGTAATTAGTGTCCAGGGACATACATGGAACAATTACCCCTTTTGCAATGCCAAGCCTCTATTCATTTGTCATTGGTCCCAAATTATGTTCAATCAGCATTTCAAATTCATGTTGGAAAAACCAAGTGACATAAAGCTAACTTTCTATAAAGCTGATACTGTAAAATGAAACTTACATTTCTGGCAATTTAACTGAGAGCAGCAGTAAGATGAAGCTATGAAAATATTGGATGTAAATGCTGTCAAGGTCTGTCTTAATCTCACCGCTTCCCATTCTTTGCTTACTTGTCTGAAATGACACTTAAGCCGACTTGCCTCTATTCCCAAGTTCCCTGAAGTCTGGAAACTGGAATATGTGATGAACCTTTTTATAGGTTGGGCCACAGTAGTCCAGAATATTCTAAACACAGGTTATCATTATTGAGAAAGCCAAAGGAGGTGGCAGCAGGGTTGGAATGGGGCATGGTGGAGCTGCAATCAGTCATCTTCAGAAGACACAAAAGTATAAACAGTTTGTTTCCTGGCAAAGTCACCTGCAGGAAATGTTCATCCATAGGATAAGGGGCTGTTTCTCAGTCTTTTGTATTGTTACTTATGGCTGGATCCTTTATAAAGAGAAAAGATCATGAAGCTTTTAAAAAAGTTCTGCCACCTCTCCATCCTGTGACACTACGGACCATGTTTCCATCACATGAACTTTCTGAGGACAAACCACCTTGAAACTGTACCAGATTGATAACAGAAGCCCATTCCTTTTTCCTATAGGTCTTTGTGAAACAGTTTTTCCTAATAGAGTCCATTTTTTCCTTTGGATTGCCAATTGCAATTCTGATTGCCAATGTTGTATGCTTTCAGATCCATGCCATACTGCCTGTCTGACTTCAGGTCCCCTTAGAGCAATCTTCTGGTCTAGGTTAAGGATATAGGAGGAGGGGCCCTGCGGCGTGGCCTACATGCTAAAGTCCTCGCTTTGAATGCACCAGGATCCCATATGGGCACTGGTTCTAGTTCCGGCAGCTCCACTTCCCATCCAGCTCCCTGCCTGTGGCTGGGAAAGCAGTTGAGGACGGCCCAAAGCCTTGGGACCCTGCACCCATGTGGGAGACCTGGAAGAAATTTCTGGATCCTGGCTTCGGATCAGCATAGCGTCGTCCATTGCGCTCACTTGTGGAGTGAATCATCGGATGGAAAATCTTCCTCTCTGTCTCTCCTCTTCTCTGTATGTCTGACTTTCCAATAAATAAATAAATCTTAAAAAAAAAAAAAAAGAATATAGGAGGAGACCTCTAGCAGAAGGGTTGGTGTGTATGGCTTGCCACCATTTTTCCCAACTGCCATTACATCATCCTAGGAGAACTGAACAAAGCAAACAACTCTTCTGCCTCTGCTGGTGGCAGGTAGGCTGACTAGACGTAGTCTTTTGCAAGATCTCTGTGGATAAACATCCTATCTTTGGTGAAGCTCAATCAGTGATGAGGTTGTGTGGTTTCTATGGCCATTTAGCACACAATCACCATCCATGAAAAGGGAAATGTAGAAAGTGTTCTTCTATCTGTATAAAGGTAAGGCCAAGGTTGAATGGATACAAAACCAGGCACGTGTCCTAGACTAGTCCTAGCATGGGTTGCTGGAAAGTGTATGGGTGGTAGAGTCAGACAGACCTTGATTTTAAGTGTGTTTTTTCCCCTTATTCCAATAAACTTTGCATTCTAGCTCATACCCAGTTTTATTGGCTACCTAGAATATTATGTTAAAAAAATATAAAATGCCTATAGCATGGCGTGGGTGTATAAGCAAAAAGAGTAAAAATTGGTTAATGATGTCTGCATTGGGTTTTAAGGTGGGAAATTGAGTGCTTGTGTGCCATATATTTGATGACCCAGGGCCCTGCAAGGTCCAATGTGGCACTAATGTGTTCTGTATAACTGGTGTAGTTAGTGAGTGCGTGTATGTAGACATAGCTAAAAGAGAAGTTAGTCTAACCCAGCTGAAATGTATTACTAGGATAATATAACTCAAATTGTCACAAACAACAGCTATAATTTATATATATATATGTGTGTATGTATATATATGTGTATATGTATATATATATATTAGTCTATTATTGAAAACATTTAAGTCTTTGTAGAGTGTTACATGTTTGCTATGTAGTAACTTTGAAAATTATCTCTTTTTTTAAAAAGATTTATTTATTTATTGGAAAGTCAGATATACAGAAAGGATGAGAGACAGAGAGGAAGATCTTCCGTCCGATGATTCACTCCCCAAGTAAGCGCCCCAAGTGAGCGCAATGGCCGATACTATGCCGATCCAAAGCCAGGATCCAGGAGCTTCTTTCAGGTCTCCCACATAGGTGCAGGATTCCAAGGCTTTGGGCCATCCTCGACTGCTTTCCCAGGCCACAAGCAGGGAGCTGGAATGGAAGTGGAGCTGCCAGGATTAGGACCGGCGCCCATATGAGATCCCAGTGCATTCAAGGCGAGGACTTTAGCATGTAGGCCCCACCGCCGGGCCTGAAAATTATCTTTTAAACTGAGTTATTACAGATGACTATTGAAATTCAGATACATTCACAGATAAGTACCAATGAAATCAGTGACAGGTGCATTAGTGTTCGAATTTTCATAAGTAGACTATATGTATGCTTAGTGTAACCCTTTGTTCTAACAACAAAAGGAAGAGTTATGTTGGTTTGTTAATGTAATTTTTTCAATGTAATATTCTTTTGTTATTGTTTATATGATTTTTGTCATTTTCAAAGCAGTGCTTTGAGGTAAGAATCTTCAAATTTGTTCAAGAGATTATTGGTTGGTTTCTAACATGCAGGTGCCTGGGCCTGAAAGCTGTAGCAGCCAAACCAGTTTAATAAGCTTTGGGATTGTGGTAGCCTCTCCCATTGCAAATGTCCTTTAATGCCTCCAACAGCCCATAAGTTAGTATGTTTAATAATGCCCTTGTCTTTCTCCCTTCCCTTCTTTCTCCTTTCAGAAACAGAGCTGTCAGTCACTGCTGAGTTAGTGCCTACCTCATCATGGAACATTTCAAGTGAACTCGACAAAGGTATGTAGTGGGGAACACAAAGGGGAGGTGGGAAGAGAGGTAAGAAACTCCATTTTTAGTCCTGGCATGGCTTCCTTGCAATCAACTGGTCTTCAGAACACTAAAGTGGCCAAAATAAATCTCTAGCTTACTTTGTTTAACATTTAATTACTTGGAACTGTATTATTTCTGGAGAGGTTCTCCACTCTCCACCCCCCCACACACACACTCCTTTCCCTTTTCCTCTAAAATGTTCCACATGGTAAAAATGTTTCAAGATGTGAAATAGGGTGGTTTGTGACCTTCCTGACACTACATCTCGTGGATCTTATTTAGGGGATTTGATTCAGCCGGAGCCAGGATTGATCAGAGCTGTTTGCTGGGTGACCTTTTACAATGAGTATTTGATGTGTTTGCAGGGTTCAGGATGGAGTATTTGGAATGTCTGTAATTGCATGCCTGTGCAGATGGCAGCTTCCTGTGTGCACGTGGGGAGCAGGTTCCTGCTTCACGCTTATTGTTTGGCATTCACTAAGCCCCGTTGTACGCTAAGCACTGGCTACTCTGCAGACATCCTGTGTCTTGGAGTGGTCAGTCAGGTCCAAATCCACTGAAAGTCCCTGCAATCTGGCCCAATTTCCCTTTTTGTAGTCACCTTTATTTCCTCTCAGTCCCTTTTATGCATTGCCAGCCAATGTCTATTTCTTCTGAGACATTGGATCTTCCAAAAGTTTGTGGAAAATACGTATTGTGAAAAAAAAAAGCTATTTATGGATTTCAAAAAAATTTTCGCACTGAAATAAACTTATCTTTTAACTCCATTTTATATGAGCTTTTCAAAGTACCTTCATGCGGTCTATGCTTTTTGACCCCGCTGAATCTAGTGGCAATCTTTACACTTTGCATTGCCCTTCCTTCTTTACCTAGACCTATTCTCTCCCTTCTGAGCACCAACACATTGCTGCTCTTTCTGGGCTGAGCAACAGTTCTGTACTAATCACAGGCATGTCTAACCCCTGAGCAGGGAGTATCCTTCTTGGAATAGCTCCCGCAGCCCTTTTCCCTGCTCTTCCCTCTTCATCTTCTAGATTAGATCATGGTGAATTAGTTACCTGTCTGCCTCACCTACATTCTTTTTTTTTTTAAGATTTATTTGATTTTTTATTGCAAAGTCAAATGTACAGAGAAGAGGAGAGACAGAGAGGAAGATCTTCCATCCAATGATTCACTCCCCAAGTGAGCACAATGGCCGATGCTATGCTGATCCGAAGCCAGGATCCTGGAACTTCTTCTAGGTCTCCCACATAGGCCCAGGGTCCCAAGGCTTTGGGCTGTCCTTGACTGCTTTCCCAGGCCACAAGCAGGGAGCTGGAATGGGAAGTGGAGCTGCCAGGATTAGAACCGGCGCCCATATGTGATCGTGGGGCGTTCAAGACGAGGACTTTAGCATGTAGGCCACACCGCAGGGCCCTCTCACCTTCATTCTTAAGCCTGGAAGGTCCTTGCAAATAGGATTTCTATATTGCTTTTTGTTTTCTTCATTATGGAATATAATACAAATTTGTTCATAGGAAATCTTCAATGAGTATGTGTGAAATTATGTCACACTTTATCTAATGAGGGACTTCCCACACACAATATAACTAACATAACAATATAACCAATAAATTTATAGAGTTTTTACAAATACAATCAATTTATAGAGTTTTTACTTCAGTGCAGACATGTTTCTTGGGTCTGGGATTATAGTGGTGAAAGGAACTGAAGCGTCATTGTTAGAAATTGCCTTCAATGATCAGCTTTCTTTATCTGCTGATACGTTCCCTGGGAATTGTGCTTCCTCTCTGAGAAGATATGTTATTTTGTTACTAATATATGTTAGGATGGTAGAATGAAATGAGATGCCTTTTCATCTTAAAGCATCTTAAATTAAAGCATGTATTTAGGATTTTTCTTTTGAAATTACATATTGAAAAAACTATTGCTGTATAAATATGCAGAGTGAGTACAAAGTATGTCAAGATTTGTTAATGCAATGTGGAATGGCCAATTTAAGCCAATGAACACATCCATCAGACATGTGGATCCTCTGCTGAGAACATTCAAGAGCTAAGTTCTCTGCAAAATTCACGTGTACAATATTCAGCTATTAGCTGTATTTACCATATTGTGCAAGAGAGCTAAAAACAAAACAAAACAAAAACAGTTATTTTGTCTACCAAAGACACAATCTGTTTTTCTATCGTCCAAATTAGACTTGGGCATTATTTTTATAATTAGAAATTAATATAGGTACTGTGTACCACTCCTTTACTTCTCCGTCATCAGATATAATGCCTAGAAAATAATGTGTTTTCGACAAAATTATGGATTTTTTTGCTGGGAAAGATATCAACATAAATATCAACATAATGTCTATAGTGTGCAAGGTATTTATTGTGCTAACTCATATGGCACCAACAGAAACATCATGCTATTGCAGTCTTAATTTAAAAAAATTTTATTTGATTCAAGGCAGATTTTTTTACAAAGAGAGAAAGAGAGAGAGAGGGGGATATTTCATCTGCTGGTTTACTTCCAAGTGAGCACAAATTCCAGAGCTGTGCTGATGTGGGACTGTGGGCCAGGAGCTTTGTCCAGGTCTCCCACACAGGTGAAGAGATGCAGGGACTCAGGCCATCCCTGCTGATTTCCCAGGCCATAAGCAGAGAGCAGGATCAGACATGGAGCAGTTGAGACTAGAACTGGCACCTGTATGGGATGCAAGCACTACAAATGGAGAATGTGTCTGTATACTGCTGTGCCTGCCCCACATTCTTCTTGTTACTAATGAATATATGCTAAGAAGGACAGCAGAACCATTGATCAAGAACTCAACCTACCAGATTTAGTATTTCTGCCAGACAGGCACTACAATTAGTAGCAGTTGTCCTTCAAGAACGAATGTAGACATTAGTGAGCCTGCTGGCAAATGGACAATATGAAGGCAGGCAGGCCCCAGAGAACATCCTTCCAGAGAGCACAGACAGCATAGCAGGGATGGTTAGCAGCATCTTTCTTCAGAAGATAACTGATGTGTGGCCTTTAATTCCCATTAATGATAGAGAAAAGTGATTATTTTTTTCATTGATCAAATCCCTGTTGATTCCTGCTCTGCTCTAGAACTCTAAGAAGAATTAGTATTTGCAGATAAATCAGGCAGAGGCCTTTGTCCTCCAATTCAGAACCTGCTGTCTAAGTAAATAATAAAAAGTCTTCCAGTCAATCTAGTTGAGCTACCAGGATCATTGCTTCAAATGACAAAGGTGCTGTTGGAAATGTACAGTGATTTTAAAAAATCCATTCATTGCTATATCATCCACAGTAGCCCAGACATAGAAGCAAGAGCCACAGTTTTTACCAGTTGGACAAATTAAGTGGTACACAATGGAATACAATTTAGTATTGAGAATAAACAGAAAATGCTGTCATTCCTAGCAACATGGGATAACCTGGAGAACAGCATATTAACTCAAAAACCCAGGCAGACAGTCAAATTCTGTTAACAGGATAGGGAACCAACATCTCATTGATAAATAACGTTCACTTTCAGCTGGATATCAGGTGTATATTTTAAAATAGACTTTGAAGGGAAAATTTTAAATACTCTGACCACAGAGAAATGCTAAATGTTTGAGATGAGGGAAATGCTAATGGGCATGATATGGTATTTCCACAATGTGAAGTATCAAACCATCACATTACCTTCTATAAATATATTCATGATATGTCAGTTAGTAATAAAGCAAAACTTAAAAAGAATCTGTTTCTAGTCTGGGACATTAAAAGGAACAATTTCCAGGCTCCAAATGAGGAATAAATTCAATATTATAGTGAAGGTCAGTGAAAAGGAATTAAGCAAAATGTCCTAGAAAATTTGGGGAAATATATATGCATCCTGGGCCTGGAATTTCATTATTCCATAGAGATGAGAGTTGAAGACATATGAAAATTCTGCTGATACTATTGTGTGGAAATCTATCCACTACCCTGAGCCATCAGGATCACCCATGGGAAATCAAAACCTTAACTTCTGCTATTCATAGGAATAGGCTTGAGTCTTTCTCATGAATTGCCTGAGCCGCAAATCAGGACAATAACATATGACCTTGGGGTGAATTAATTACATGATGAAAACCTGACAGTGGCAAGCCTAATGTCTCAGCAACCAGTGCGTGTATAAAAACAAAAAGGAAAAATAACAATGAGAAAGCCCTGGTGAAAGTTTACTTTTAAAAATCTTCATGTGCGTAAGAAAGGGGAGAAAGCCACCATTAGCAAGAGTCAGAAGACAAAACACATGGAGGAGTCTTTATCTTAGGAAGAAGTCAGACCAATTTGAGAGAGTGTACATGTTTAAGATGTTTCATGCTGAAACAGGAAATAGAATCTAAAGACAAATATAGGATAGTATGATCAAAAACATGGGCAGATTTCAGAGAAACTAAATGGAAAATCTGGGACTGAAAAGTAGGGTTAGAGAAGTAAAATTCATCAAATGGATTAAAGAGTGGATGCAATCAGCTGAAGAGAGAGATAATGAGTTGGAAGATCAATTTGAGAAAATTCAAAGGCTTAGAGAATGGACTTGGTCCAGGTATCTGACTAGTTCTGAATTCCGAAACTACCACCTCGTAGCTATGTGACTTTTGGAGAGTCACCCAGTGTGCCATGCTGTGTTCTTTTCATATGTAATATGGGATCATAAAATTACTTCTCATAGCATTATTGAGAAAATTCATCTAACTAGTGAATTAGATAAACTAATTGGAGAATAAAAATGAAAGCTGGATTCTGTTTTTATGGTTACTACTTTGGGCTTGATAGAAAGCAAATTGTAGGCACTTTGCAGTTTGGGAAGGTAGGTTTATCTTAGGGTTGAATAGAGACTTCAGATCCTGACAAATCATCCCACAGTACCAGCTGTCCACACGTCAGTATTCACCCATGCAAGTGACACATCTCAGACAACTTTTTGCATA